CGCTTACAATCCTTCCTACTTACGGGCTTCGTATCTAAGTATACTTATGTGAACAGGGAGATTTCGTACGATACGCATGCTAATCACAACAGACACATCTAATCAAATGGTATCTCAACGCTCTACTTATAGTCTGTATCGTGGATATAATTATTATAAAAAGGATAAGTCACCTCGAGAAAAGGCCGCACTTGCTAAAAGAAAAGAGAAAAAGAAGCTTGTAAAACAGAAATCCATCAATCGACGATGCGCATGTTGGAAGAGAGTTCACAGTAATAGAGATTCACAGGGTAATTACGAAGAATAGGCACAAAGTAGAGATATAAAATGAAACAAAACCGACGGGATCGAGAGGTCGAGTTCGATCCCCAGAGTCCAAACAGCAATAGAAAAACAAAAACAGAAAGGAAACCAAAAGTACACGAGAAACCAAGAGAGACAAATTATTTTAGGGGCAAAGATCACACAAGCAGAGACTCGTTAGACTTTGGGGGGGTGGGGGGCGAGGGGCAGAAAAACAAAACAATATTAACAAAATAAAACGAACATACGTATACAACCATACAAAATGGACAGATAGACAGACAGACGAACAGACAGTCAGACAGACAGACGGATAGACAGACAGACAAAGTTACCTATGTAGCTGGTGACGAGGTTACGGAATTTGCGATGATTCCCCTTAATCTCAGGCAGGTCCACTTTTGGTATTCAGATTTTCAGAGTTTCGATCGGTAGCAGGTCAGATCAGGTCATTGGGGGTTGACACGGAAAGAAGTGCACGGGACACAAAAACATCAACATTTAGCTTCGAACGTTGTAGCCATACTTAAAACATTTTTTTTCTTTCGTTTCTTTTTTTTTTCGTATCATATGTATGCTATGTATACCCGCTATCAGAATAATCGGTAAATTATAAGGGACTGCCGAGAATAATAATGATAATAGCAACAACTAAGGAAAAAGCGGGGGTCACACGTTCTTGCCTCGGATTAACTTTGTAGATCAAAGATAGAGTTAGTACAGACGGAGTGGAAGAGAGAAAGACAGCGGGGGACGAAGAAGGAGAGGGACAAAGCGACGATCAAGTCATTCCCTAGTCATCGTCGAGGAGTTGAAACGAAAGTGTCGTTCCTCTGCGACCGCCGCGAATAAAATTCCCTTCGAATGATTCCTGGCGGACTCGTCCTTGCGGAATCTCGATTATTCGAGCGTATTTTTACCCACGGCAGCCTTGACCGGCAGAACACTGACCTGGATCTCGATCACAGAAACTTTAATGATTTTTCGTCTTTAAATGGCAACATCGTTAGTCTCGCCAACTTGTTTCCCGGAGAGCCTGTTGCCTCCTTCTTTCCCTTCTTTTTCTTTTCTCGTTTGTTCTTTTCTCTGTTTCGCGCACTCGAATCCCGCGCAACCCGAAGTGCTCTCCGATTAAAGTTTCAATTCGATCCGCAACGGTTTTCGAGCGATTTTTCGGAGATGATCGTCGATTCGGAGGCAACAAGTCGCGGTTCGCCTGAAACGTTCGATTCTACGAGTCGACGCTCGAACGAATCCAGGTTCCGCTCGCGCGAGATATACAGAGTGTCGTAAATGAAATGCGAAGGCAACTGAAGTGAAACGAGCCGAGGAAACGGGGAACGGAGTTAGTCGGGTGAATGTTTTTTAATCGATAGGGATCACTACTTTCATGTCAACCCTCTGTTGAGCAGAAAATGTAGGATAAGTCTTTTTTGGAAAATTGAGTGTACACTTGGAGAATGATGATGGAAAGATAAATAATGTTCTTATGTGAAAATTGATTTCGTGATAAATGCGGGAGTACTTCTAGCAGATTCATAATCTAGATTTTGACCCCGCCCACTGAGACTCAATTGACATTGAAAAGTAAGCGGAATGATGGAGGAGGTAATGATCGAAATCCAAAATGTACGTTAAAACACAAACAACAAACACATGTCACACGATACGCCTATTTAAGACAATGTACCAACCAAGTGGTGACGCGGATGGCAATGCAGAAAATAAAATTTAGATGATAAAACGACTACAGATGGAAGGATGTATAGATGCTACGGTAGATGAGATGGTATCTTATCATTAATATTGGCCTGCAGCAGAAATTCTGGTGCGAGAATTTCATTTCTTATCGAATATGTGTATCGCACTTTATTCGAAGTTGCTACCCCCACTCTGATTCTCGCTGTCCATTGTTCCTCCCACTTTTACATTACTGTTCCACCGGTGAGGCAGTGGGAGGAGCAAACGTCAACAGTGGGGGCAATAGCTTCGAGCAGTTAGTAGGTCTTACGCCGGTAATAAGTATATCTTAAGTTTATAACGGATTAGTTTACTTGGAACTCTGTACGATTACCTTGAAAAAAGAAAAGCAATCATTTAGCGAAGAAAATGTTGCAGACATATTCCAAGAATTTCGTTGTACCGATGTTGATTCTTCGAATTAAAGATTGAAAAGATGAGACATTTTGTAATGGTAAGTTTACAGTTAGTAGAAAGGTGCGGTAGTTATTGTAACGTGGCTAATGATCAGAATTGTTCAAGTATTAAACAGGAGAATTCCTGCAACAACCCAATGATAACGTAGCAGTACAGCGGTAATGGTGGCCAGAAAATATATTAGTACAGGGGGAGAGAGAGAGAGAGAGAGAGAGAGAGAAATAGATAGATAGATAGAGAGTGAGAGAAAAAGAGAGAAAGAGAGAGTGGGGGGAACAGTAGAAAAGTCAAAGTGGAGAGAAGAAACTAGAAATGGTTACAGACAGTAAATTGTTTCGGGTAGGCTTTGTAAATGAAATGAAGTTGGTAAACAGCGAAAATGTTTATTGCAAAATATATAAATATGTACATTGGTGTCCACGTCGTGCCGATAGCTGAATATTTTCACAATAAAAAAGAAATTTGTCTACTTCTACCGTTTCTCTCCTCTCCCTCTCACGCACGCTTTCGTCTCATACTCTCTGTCTCTCAATGGCACACCCATACCGAAGCTAGCTTTGCCGGAAAAATATACCGTATACGTAGGACTCCTCCCACGTCGATCGTAAATCGCACAAAATTGTTTGAACGCACATTTTCGAAAGAGAGCAAAAAAAAAAGAAAACAACCAGGAAAGAAACGAAAGAGAAAGGAAAACGCAACCTCTCTCCGCCCTCCGGAAATTGCGTTTTTCGTTTGTCTACGGACTATCGGCGTGAATTTCGAAAAATTTTGTGCGATCCGTCGATGGGCCGCGCGTCTCGCCGTCTGGCCCACTCAGCGACCGGTGTGTGTCTCTACCCTGTACACTACTTAGGAACACGAGGCTCGCGATAGTTTTACAAAACCTTTGGCACGTCGTTATCAACAAGGAACTTCGAACTTGGAATCACTCGATAGTACAGGCTGGCTAAACGCACGCGGTCGAAAACGAAACGTACACCCACTCGGCTTACGGTTACCGTTTGCTAACTGATGGATCGTTTTCGATAACCGAGAGACCGGCGACTACAACGTCCTAACCGAAACACCTGGCAAACCGAAATCACAATTCAGGGAAAATTGAAATTCTGACTGTAGCGTATAGATCTCTGGATGGATTTTAATTTCTTATCACAGACTCGTGATTGCAATCGCTTGATCATTGAAATGAACATCAGTGCTGTTGCCGTTGTCGACGGACTTAATGGAAACGTGGATGGTTTTTTCCTTTGACTTCGAAAAACCGTAACCGTAACCGAGATTCTTTAGTTAAAAAATTCTTACACGAATTTCGTCGAAGGAAGACCGTAACATTTTGGCTCGTGACTGTATCTGTGACGCAACTATATTTTGACGTCTCGATTGTTGCAGCGCGGATTAAGGGGACGGCAAAATACGAAATTGTCTTCACAATGGTGCGCTTCGCACGGGACCCTTAAAACCTAATCGGCGACCCATTGTTTTTATACACGATTCTTGTATGGCTTTGCTTCGCTCTCTACTCGAAGAAGATTCAAAAAAGAAAAACGAAAAGAATGATCAACGATACCGGCTTCGATGCATAAAATACTCAGCTATGTATGTGGACACCAGTGGACTGGTTACTTTGTGCTCGTTAATCGATCATTAACCGGGTTCGAAGTCTATCTTGGCTACGGAATCGTGATGTGAACAAATGTAAGGTCGAGAAATCAATGAAATAATTCGGTGACCAAAAACAAAAACAAAAAAGACAGAGTGAGAGAGACGGAAATCAAACGGGAGGAACATCATGATGATGAAACTGAACTGTTGATAAACCATGTGTAGTATCGTGTTAGCGATTAGTTGCACCAATAAATACAAAAAACCCAGAGGTGATCAAAATTTGACACATTCAATGGAACCCAAGGATGGTTTTAATCGACAGCGTTAATCGTGAAGGAATGCAGGTATCCGAAACATCGACGTCGGGGCTGCTGA